AGCGGGGAAACAAAGAATCGAACCTGGAAAATAATGTTCTTAGCGTAAAGCGGAAGCCTGCCTTGTTAACTGCACAAAAATTTGCGAAGCTCAGTTGGGCAACGGCTGGCTGGTGATTGCATGTTTTTTATTTGCTGCTTTCAAAAAATATTTTGGCGTCAAAACATTGTAAATATCAAAGAAGGTAGATAATTTTTGCGTCCCTTGCTATAGTCGTGATACATTAACATGCATGTACTGTGTCCCAAACAGTTTGTTTCAGGGTGTAGTTTTATGGCTAACAAATTGTGCTGATTTAATGTTACTTCGGTACCTTGGGGTAAGATGCCCCCTGTCCTGATGGGGAAAGACGCCCCCCTAAATCCGTAGGCTGTCCTTCAAGCAGCCCGTCAAATCATTTATTACATACTTGTGATGAGAGACAAAAGCCGATCTGGGACTATTGAGAGTCCGGTACGGTCGGGTGCTCCCCATGCCGGTCTCTCGGCCCACACAGCAACTTTTTGGGCGGCATCTGACTCTGAGAGCCCTCACGACGGCCTCTGTTGGCCCCATTATTGGTTCCAGGGCCCCTCACGACATCCTTTGAGGGCTCCCACGTTGGCTCCACGGGCCGCGCTGGCATCTGAGGTCCCCACGATGGGCTCGAGGGCCCTCAAGCATCATGAAGACCTATAAGGGCCCCACAGTGGTCTCCGAACGCCACCACGGAGGCTTGTTTGGCCACGCTGGACTATGATGGCCCTAACGATGACCTCTGAAGCCCCTTACGACTACTTTTGAGGGCCCTTACGATGACGTTTGGTGTCTACTGCAGGCTTGAAGGGACTACTGATTCGTTCAGGCGATTCACGTGCCTATTTTTGTCACTTATAGTGCAGGGGGCATCTTACCCAACGCCAGGGGGCGTCTTTTCCACCCTGTGGGGTAAGATGCCCCCTTTCACTTCTTCAGGAAAATGCTTAATAGCAAAAAAAAGTTATCATGTTTCAGGCACGAAAGTGTGATATATTTGGAGAAAAATGGTGTCGGCTTCCGTTGAAACTCCAAGTTTTGGCTTTCCGATCGTCATTTTCGAATAATATATGACATAGTCAAACCCTGGGCATCTTTCCCCACCCTCCCCTATTACAGAAATGGGCTGCTGTGTTCATGCATTAACCCGCGCCCTGCCGGGGGGTGTTAAACACCCCCCTGCAGTTTTCCGTGAATATCTCAAAAACGGCGACGCGGCACACTTTATCCTACATCATTTCTACACATGTTGTGAAAATTTCAGACCCTGGTCACTTAAGGTCAGGTCACCAGGTCAGGTCAAATGACCTCACTACATAAAAAGTTTTAATGTCTGCCAAAGGTACACGGAGTCCGAGTGACCAAACGCTTTGAAACTTTCAGAGATGCAAATGCACAAGAGCGACAAAATGCAAAAAATGTATGTCTTGGAATTTTGATATCGAGGTCAGGTCAATTTTGCGACCTTAAATTGAAAGTCGCCTTTTTAGACGGAAGTCATTATAAACACTCTAAAACACTGAATTACTAGTATCTTTGACACATTGAACATGAAAATGGCACCCGTGACCCTTTTTATAACCCTGAGGTCATCTCAGGTCACGAATGGTATCTGACTGTTTTTCGCGAATAACTTTTGATAGAGGTATGCTAGAGCGATGAATACACCTTAGTTGTGTTTGGCTCGACGATACGGATGGACTGATATGGATCTTAGCCTTTATCGGTCAGGTCATGACCTTGACCTGAGGCCAAATTTTCAAGTTGACCTTTCAAGGTCAATTCATAGTTCATTCCACACGTCTGGACGAGAGGAACACGATGCTGGTAAAGGGAAGTTCGTGCAAATTTTGAGACGAAAGTTATCGCCGAAAACTGGTTTCCGAAAATATCGGCCATTTTGGCAGTTTTTGCGGCCACTGCATGTAAAACCGTTGACGGCAAAACCGTTGACGGCACCCGGCATGATTTCTCTGAGCGCATTTATACAAATAATTATTTGTCTACATAGAATAGGGCCTTCTGTTTACAGAGGACCTCCTCCCCTGTCCCTTCCTACAGTGGGCGGCGACGCGGTTGGGAGTCTATTCTGTACAGTTTCCTGAGTTCTCAGTTTTCACTATAGTGAGAACTGATAACTCTCTATAGAGAGTAGCAGGGACCAGAAGCCAGAAGGTAATTTGCTTACAGTGGGCCTCCACTCTACGTACTTAATATACGACGCTGTCTTTGACTTCCGGGGGCCTCCTGCCCACAGAGGGCCTCTTATCTACAGAGGGCTTCCTCTATACAGATTGCCTCTTATCTACAGAGGGCCTCCTCTCTGCTGAGGGTGTCTCTCTCTCTCCAGAGGGCCTCCTTTACAGAGGGTATCCTCTCTACAGAGGGCCTCCTCTCTAGTCTCTACAGGGACCTCCTCTCTACATAGGGCTTCCTATCTATGTAGGGCCTCCTCTCTTCAGAGTCTCGTCTCTACACAGGACCTCCTCTATACAGAGGACCTCATCTCTGCAAAGGGCCTCCTCTCTTCAGGGGGCCTTCACTCTACAGAGGGCCTCCTACCTACAGAGGACCTCCTTTCTACTGAGGGAATCCTCCTCTACAGAGGGCCTCCTCTCTTCAGACGATCTCCCCTCTACAGAGGGCCTCCTCTCTTCAAAGGGCCTTCTGATTTCAGACGGTTTCTTCTTTACAGAGGGCCTGCTCTCTACAGAGGGCCTCCTTTTTTACAGAGGGCCTCCTTTTTACAGAGGGCCTCTTTTTTACAGAGGGCCTCCTTTTTGCAGAGGGCCTCCTCTCTACAGGGGGTCTCCTCTCTAAGGGGGCCTCCTCTCTACAGAGGGCCTCCTACCCACAGAGGGCCTCCTGTCTACTGAGGAGTCAGAGGGGCCCTAGCGGTCAGACACAGACACTAGTGGTTATTCACAGGAGATTAGAAGGGCCCTAGCTGTCACTTGTCAGGCTGGTCAGAGGGGCCTGATTGTTCTGACGTTGACGTCATTTTTTAGATTCCCGCGTGAATTTCGTTCGCCTCCGACGTCATTTTGGCCAACGTGGGCCTTCGGCCCACGTTGGATTCAGGCCGAAAGGATTCAGGACAACGTGGGCCTTCGGCCCACGTTGGCCTGAATCCTTTCGGGGGGCCTCCTGAAAACCCCAAGGGAGGGGCGGGCGCCCCCTCCGCCCCCCCCCCTTGGCTACGTCCCTGGGTTGAAGCAAGATATAGAATGCTTCTCTTTACATTTAAAGGTAGTGTGCCAGCTTTCTTGGACCGTATGGAGTTAATGGCCCAGATAAGGAGAACCGGATTTTTAGAACTTATCCATACCTTCAAAACTCATGGAAACGTCTTAAATTCTTCAAATTTTGAGTACCCCAGTGCGAAATTCGCCCCGACGGGTTGTCGGTCGTACCCCAACCACATTTCACACCACTATGAACAATAAATGCACACACTGAAATCGCTATTACCGATATGCTCATCCAATCAAGTTTCGATAAACCCGTTCATCATCATCTCCTGCGGTTTCGAACACGCCTGTTAGGTGGCTTCTGATGCTCGTCGAGGTCGGAATTTCCAAATACGCGTGGTGCGTCGGGCCGCGCGCTCTGACTTCGGCCAAGAAAAATGCGTCAGCTGATCATTGTCATTTCTGCCACTTGCGTGTGGTGAAATGGGGTCATAACTTATAAGACGGCTTTTTCATATCAATTATTTTACATAAAATCATATTTCAAACCATAAATAATGTTCGACAGCCAAATAAAAGAAACAATACCAATACGGGATTACAGTTTAAGGCTCGACATTGTGTTGTCTACGATTAGACAGCTGATAACTCATTCCCGTACGTCGTATGGTCGTAACACTATAATGACCTTTGCTTATTGTCACAAGTGCGCCGCATTCGCGATTGTTGCCCGACGCCTGTTTGCAGGTGAGCCCACTACAGTTGTTATACATATCTAAAAACCGAAAAACTTTTAGGCGAAAAAGGCACTATTCCAGGCCCATTTTTGATTTTTTTGCGATATTAGGTAAAAACAGAAGCTTCTTATCCTAGGAAAAATAAAATGGGAAATCTTTCAAAGGTGGCACACTACCTTTAATATCGCAAAGCACAGCTTTATGCGCTGGCTACGATATGTGCGTGTCGGTTGCGGCAGTGATCATCGAAGAAATATATGATTTATGAACGTTTCTTGATCATAGAATGATAAAACATTGCAATATTTACCTGTTGTGAAGAAAACTCCTATACTGCCGCTCTATCGTCCGGAATTATTCGTGTTTGATTACGGCAATTCCGCCACTCTATCAGCTGATTTTTGTTTCCGAGTCACGTGACCAACCGGTGTCTCCCTGGTAACGGCGCCGCGCGGCCCGGCCGGCCGGCGCCCGCTGTAGTTCCAAGCACTGCCCGATAGATGGCAGGCGCAGAAGTGGTCCGGGCCGTCCCGGTACGGTGTTCGTCTGTTGCAGTGTTCAAATGCGAGATGAATAAATAATTTGAAAAAAAGACATAGATAAGAAAGTTGCGAAAATGAAATGTTAAAAAGTGTATAAGGTCCTGATTTATCGAAAGCATAAAAGCGCCGGCTCATTCCTATTCACCTGGCAATTGGTGACCGCCGTTAAAAAAGAAAAAAATGGTATAACACTAAGATCACCTATCCGTGCTTCTATCCTCAGGATACTGAAATCCTTCTCCTCCACGCCGCAACCTCCCTCCGGGCTGGACAGGCAACTTTATCTCATGCGGGCTGCTCCCTTGGAGCGGCACCGCTGCTCCCGAGGGAGCGCACCCCGTAGCCGGGTGCAGTGAGTGCCTTGGGGCTGGGTGGCCTGTCCTCTGGACGGGCTCAGCCCCGGCGACTCACTAGGGTGCATGCCCAGACCAATGTCTCCCCCTAATTCCTCATCATCCTTCCGGCTCTGCAATGGTCTTGTCGACCGAAAGGGCCTAACCCAACAAAAAAAAAAATATAACACTAAATTTATTGGTCCAGAAGCAGTGTTTTTGTTTTAACATACATAAGCAGCAAGCATAAGCACACCTATAAATTCACACGAATTACATTTCGCCAATTCATAACACAGGACACTGTTTTCCAGAAGCAGTTTTTTTCTATCATGCATAAGCAGCAAGCATAAGCACATCTATAACTTCACACGACTTACTCATATTTGGTCAATTCCTAATACAGGACACCGGACACGTGAGAGAACGGCTGCTCAAAAACTACACGCTCTAAAATCGAAACAATGAGTAATCGTAAAGAAACTGATCGGCAGTTCTTCAGTTTACGCTTGTCCTTTCGGAAACATTATCTCCCTCAGCAACACGTAGTTTGGTGATCGGAACAACAAGCTCCTCGGCACAACCAACCACGATTATCGCACTAATGTTATCGTCCCCGCACGTTTTGCCAGGGGAGATCGAAAGCAGCGCACATCTAACCGCGTCCTCGGAAACATGCAGTCGTGACATCGGATCCAGCGGGTAAGCCGTGGCGGAGGGTAACACCGTTCTTCTGGAGTTGGAAAACTTGGACGCAAACGCCTCGTAACTTCTCGCGCTGGCAGATGTCGGGTTTCAATGGAGACGACGATAGGCCGCCTCCTTGAGCTTCAGAGCCTCGCGCACCTCCCTGTGGCCAACCATGGTGGCACGCTGCGGCGCAACACCACGCGGATACCGACCAGCAGCCCCCACGGGATCACTTTGACAGGCTCCGCCGCAGGGTGCCAAAGTCGGCGCTCTGGTAGCTGTAGGCGGTGCGCCTTGACGGCGCCGGGGGTCGGCTCCGTGGAACCGAGACGGTGGCCACAGTCTCCTTATGATCGGAGATAAAGAGGCCATCTCGCACGTGCACTCGAGCTTGTAAACGCCGAGTGAAGATCAAGTCTAGCGTTCTTTCCCCTCGGGTAGCTTCCGACACCCATTGTCTGAGGCCCATGGCGTCGCAGGAGTGGAGAAAATGTGACGCTCTGACCGTCTGACGAGTCAGCTCGGGCACGCTGTGTGATACATTCCAGGTTATTTCAGGCAGGTTGAAATCACCGACCAGTATGAGCTTGCAGTCTTGCAACATTGAAAGCGCGTCAATCGTTCTCCCCAGGGCTCCGTCGTCGTCCGGTGGTCTGTAGCAGACGGCGACTGTTATCGAGCAGCCCCGCAGGTGGATCAGCAGGCACTCCGCCCCATCCGGATCCGGCAGCCTCTGCGGCAGCAGCGATGTCCGCACGGCACAGGCCACTCCGCCGCCCCGAGAGCAGCGGTCCCGACGAAACCACGTGTGATCACGAAAACCGAGCTCCAACTCCGAGTCGGCTACTGTATCATTGAGCCAGGTCTCAGTAACTGCTATCACGTCATGGCGGTCAAGTATGGGAGCAGAGGCACGAAGGTCACCAAGCTGCTTCTTTAAGCTCCTGACGTTGGCGTGGTACACAGACAGCGCGCCAGGCGGCATCGCCGCAGCCGTCCCACGAGCCAGGTCAGGGACGGGGTGCAGTTCCACATCTCCAACCAGTGTTGTGGCCCGTCTGAAACTATAGCGGCCGTTCTGACGAGCAGCACAGATGTTGGTTCCATATGCAACGCTAGTGTGAAAACGACGAACAGGTAGATCATTCATTACGGAGCGAGCGAAGCGAGCGTAGTCTTTCCTTAGATTAACGGAAATTTCTGAGTATGAGCGGCCGGCCGGCCGGCCGGCCGTGGTCACGCTTTTGCGAGGCTTATATCTCAGCAACCACTTGACCGATTTACACGCGGTAATTTTTGTAGGGTAGCTTCATTCCTTCTACCAAGTATTGGACTATTCCCGATGCATGTGGGTGACCCCTTATGCACGTGCCACGTGCAAAACGAAGAGGTGTCACTTTTGTAATTGTTGCAATATCTCGGTAACTACTTGGCCGATTGCGCTGAAAGTTGGCATGTAGGTAGGCACCCACTAGGCACTGCATATACATGTGCCAGAGTTGGGGTGCTGCTGCACGTGCGCACGTGCAGGGGTCGTTTCCAGATCTCGAGAACGGCTGGACCGATTGCGCTCAAATTTGGTACACGGTTAGGGACCGGTTAGTAGGGTGCCGTGCACAAGTCAGTTGGGACCCATTTTGCACGTGCGCACGTGCAGGGTGCCGCTTCCAGATCTCGAGAACGGCTGGGCCGATTGTGCCCAAATTTGGCACATCGCTAGAGACCAGTTAGTAGGGTGCCGTGCACAAGTCAGTTGGAGGTACCCCCTCGCAATTTCGCACGTGCAAGGCCCACCCTCTCGCTCGCTCCGTTAGTCGCCCCAAAAGGCGTTATACTGGTCCATATTACCCTTGATTGATTTGAGGTGCGTTCAAACGCTGTCCATTGTGTGGCGTTATAAGAACAGTTACAATATTTTGTCTCAAATGGAAATATCTGCGGAAGTTTTAGAGATATTTTTCTTGATATTTGGTATGTGTAAAGGCGATGAGATGTTCTCTGACATATATTCCGAGTTTTTGAAAACTTCCCCAAATTTCAAATGCATATTATACATATAAGGAAAGTTTAATTTGAAGGTAAAAAACACAGGATCAGAAATTATTATAAGTTGGAAATTTTGAGATAGCCATTTTAAAACCATGCTTTTTTGTGCCTAGGGTTTAATCTTTGGGTTTCAAAGTTAATGATCTGATTTTCTGCGATTTATTTCCCGTGAACAACTTATTCGACCAGAAAACGGCCGATCATGACCTCAGTTTGAGGTCCAGAACTCATGACCTGAGATGACATAGGACCTACTAATTTTTTCAGGAGTTGTGTAAAATTGACCCCTGAAGAGCTACTGCAAACGGCGAGTCAAAATTCGCAGCCGTTTTGAAGCGATCTGCAAAAAAAGGGGAACACTTAACCCCCCCCCCCCCCCACCCGGTACGGGTTGTGAGTTAATCGTACTTTTTTTTCTTGGTCACACTCTGGCCGCATAGGTTATCTGTCTGTCTTTTGCTCGTACTTGGCCCATACCTATCATCAGCTTCTTCCCCCGTTCGTTCCTCTGTCTCGTGTGTTTTTCTTTCCCTTTGCTGTGTCTTGGTTTTTTTACGTTCCTTTTCTTGCAAATCATTTTCTTTCTGCTGCAGTTTTGGCTTTTTCTTGTTGTTCCATTCGGATTCCTTGTTTTTCCATATTGTCTCCTTTTTCTCCCATTCCTCTTCCTTTTCTCGCCAGTGTTGTTGTTCACTTAATAACTCTATTTCCTTGACTGCAAATTCTTTCCTTTTTCGGCGCCATTCTGCCTCCTTCCCCTTCCATTCTTGTTCCTTGTTTTCCAGTTCCTTCACCTTTTCCTCCAATTTCCTCACCTTTTCCTCCAAATTCCTATTTTTTTCTTTCCATCCCTTCTCTTTTTCCTCCCACTTCTGATGCTCACGCACCTGCTCGCCAGATCCACTCGGCCCCAGCTGCGCTCCTTCACGGGGAGTCTGTCGGTATAATCTTTCCTCGTCGTCGTCCCAATCACTTGGGGTTCGATCTATGCTGGACTGAAATGATCCGTTGTCTTTTTTTTTCCCTCAGCATTTGCAGCGCCTCCTCCTCTGACCAATCAAAGAATGTCAGCACCCGCTGGTTTTGCGGGGTCCTCAGGCTATGAACTTGGGGGCACTTGTCTTTAAGCATGCACCGATTGAGAAGGAAATCCGGGCAGTAGTGTAGTCGTAAACAGTGTGCCGGCGGCGTAGAGTGTTGGTCGTTGCAGAGCCTAGCCATGGGCGGAGAGCGCTGTTTCAGTAGCCGGCAGATCTCTGGCTCGGAGGTGTCGCTCCGATGGGCACTAAACAGAAGTCTGCTATTGTGACTGCCGTTTACTGCGCTGTGGTTGAGGTCGCACTCGCCTGACTCACATGGTTTACCCATTACATGACGGTAGCAGACGTGCAGCCGGCGGCAGTCGGGGTAGTTGCATTTGCCCATGTTGTAATTAAAACAAACTTCGAGTCTGTGCGCCTGGTGTTCGAGTCTCTCCGCCCGCTCGCGCTCGCGGAGACGGCTCAGCGCCAGGTCCAGCTCCCTGGCGTTATAACCGTTTATCTCGAGCAGCCAGATGTTATGAGACGTGTGCAGTGTGTGCTCTCTTTTGCATGGCAGGTATGCGCATCTATTTTGAATGAAATATTTGCACACGTGCAGTTCCTTGCAACTTCTACCGTTGGTACATCTTCCCCAGTGATTGTATTCGGCGCATACGCTAGGGAGCTGTCTGGACGTCCGGCGATGCTCACTCCGAGGTCTTTCAGGTGGTGGAAAGCGCATCGTGGTTCCTGCAACACAAAGGAGCGTTATTTCAAAATGTGGCCTTGCAAAATGTTTTGTTTGTTGTCAAAATGTTTGTGTGTCGGCCGATGTTCGCTGCGTGGTAAGGTGGTCGACCAGATTGTATCCCGACCAGACATGCCCTAGGGTGTGTCGCTCGGCCCCCGCCGAAGTTAGTTGGTAGCACTGCTGCTCCACGGCGTACATTTCCTACCAGCCCATAGGGTTTACATGTTAAATGGCCTGTTTTCGGCGAGCGATATCTCGGTCAACCTTTGAAGGAATCAATGGTTCTTGGTCTCAAATGATAGATCGATGAATTTTCTTTCGACAATTCCTCTACCATTTTTCACGAAACCCAGCCGATCTTCTACGGCGTACAGGGTAAAGATTTCTCTGCACGCCAGCACCCGCGATCCGCCTCTCCGATCGTCGGCGCGCGGTCCGCGGTAGCGCAGTCGGTAGCGTATCGGCCTACGGATCCGAGGGTCGTGAGTTCGAATCCTGGGAGCGCCGCGTGATTTTGGCTAGAATTGAATGATGTAGATTCTTGAATGTTTGCATAATCAATTATTAATAGCTAATTGAATGTATCTGCCCACTAATCGGCCCCTAAAACCTGTTATTTAAGGAATTTAAGAAATGAATGTCACGTGCGCGTCACGACTGTCAACCATAAGCGCTACCATATTCTAGTTTGAACTAACTTTTTGCTAGTCCCGATCACATATAGTAGGTTTTCTAGTAGTTATACTAGAAATTCCTACCAAAGTTCGTCCTACCCTTCACTCAATATACCCTGGTGTCGCTAGTCACAGATCACGGTGCTCCTATGATTTTCCTTTGCTCCAGGACAACCGAAGACCAGCTGTACTATTGGTCTCAAGATAAGGGTCCAGGCGACCTGTAGGTTTGATGCGGTGAATACCCCCGCCTTCGCCACACTCGCTCGGTGCTACGGAGCTCCGATCTCGCGACCGGTCACCTGTACTTGTAGACTGTGCCGCATGACATAGCAGTCGAGCGGGCCAGCGGAGCTTAGGCGGAAACTAGCGCCGTGTTTGACAGAGAAGGACGCTCACTATTCCGGCGGGAGGGCCGCTCGCCATTTTAACTCCATGTAGCGTCTCACTGACAATGAAAGACACTACAGGACGACAATATAGGGTTTGGCAAAAGTTATGTCCACTACCTACATATGAAAACACTTTCCTGTTCCTAATCGTGTCCACACCTGAGGGATGACGATTCAGGCTGCACTCCTGCATTGCACGGTCCTTAGCCGCAGAACATGAGGTGACGAACGGACCTCGGGTCACGGATCACCGAGCTACGGCCAGTTTCACAGAGATTGTCCACCTGAACGGCTGCGTCGCTACGTGAATGTCTGAACTTTCTATCAAGGGAGCTGAACCAGACAGTCGGCATGCTCCAGGCCGAAATGACACAGCGTGTCATTGCTGATTGGTTGGGACATCTGCCTGTTGTTTTTGTTTGCAAGTCTTATAGACGAACTGTCTGCACAGTCCGGTGTTGTGCAAGTCTTAATTATAGACGAACTGTCTGCACAGTCCGGTGTTGGTGGGATAAGCATACGGCTGCTGGCAGTGTTGCTGATCGTTCCAGTTTGCCGGTGTGCGCCTACCATTTCAAACGTTACAGAAATCGCATTGAAAAAGGCGACCGGGAAGAAAAGGCCAGTAGTTGGCGACAAAATTGGCCAAGCGGCTCGCGCTGAAGCGCTATCACATCTCCAAACAGGACCATGAGACGCTATTGGAAGAGCTCTCCAAGGCTCATTACCTACCTTCGGCCCAATACTAAGCCAACGCATGGTCAATGACATGTTGACATGCATTTTCAATCAGGACGGCGCGCCAGCTCATCGCTCTGCCAAGGCCTAGCAGTGGTGCGAATTGAACGTGCCAGACTTCTGAAGGAAAGAGATGCTAGCTGGCTGCCCTCCGGACCTCATCCTGATCGACGAACTTCGGGCTGTCGTCCAACAGGTCCAGCAGGACCTGGACAAACAAAAGCCGGCGGCCAACCTCGGTGCCTTGTCGTTACAGCTCAAACGGGCATGATAAAAAATCCAGCCGTAACTTACTGCGCAACCTATAGTTGCCAACATGCAAATTTGCGTTCGTATGTAAGTCCCTGTTCGTGGGGAATAAAGTGAACGCTAAAGAGAATCGCTGTCCCCTATGTAGTAACTTAGAGAGAGCATTTTTTAGGATAAAACTATGCCGGACCATGTAGCTCACGCATCATTCATTGCAGTTTCACCTTAGACTGCAAGACGTGGCAATTTGTTTAGGACATAGCAATTAATGTTGTCATGATCGGCATAACGCCGAGAACGTCACTATTTATATCATTATCTTAGCGGTTGCATATTTCAACCTTCATAACTTTTAATTTCCTACTGTTTCATATAATTTCATTTATGGCGCTGGACAAGTGTTGAACAGTTCATTTCAATAACTGCATTGTTAAACCTCCGGTAGGGTTAACCATTAAACAATATGTAAAGTGTTACTCTAGCCCCGTTCGCTATGAGTTCGCTTTATAATTCTATCAAACGTGATATCATTCCAAGAAAGCACTAATAGTGTAGAGTGTAGAAGCCATTACCACCGATGGGACTCGAAGCGATGCAGCTAGGTAATGCATAAGGCTGATTGGCGAATTTCAGCTTGTAGGCAAGACAAGGAAACGTTCTCAAAAATCAAATCCACACGTAACAAACATATTTCAAGAGTGCATGTATCTCGTTGTCGTTGTATCCGTTATTCCTCGTCGGACCTATCGGCTTTCTGAATACCGAGAGGGGTCTAGTGTGTGTGGGGGGACCCCGCCGCCGTTTCGCCCATTATTAGGCTAAAAGCCTTGCACCCAGGCCCAGCGATTCACAATCAAGTTAAAAGTGTCAGATCAACATGTGACCTCTGAGGTCAGGTCACCTGCACAAATGCAGGGTGTTCATTTAGCGAATGGCGTAAAGTAAGCCCCCGCTGGAGCCCCAAATGATCGCCGGCCATCGTGCATTGAGTTCGCTCCGCAATTTGAGTTGCTTGAGGTTAAACGGTGAAGTCCAAGCAGGAAAAATCGGCAGACTGCAGAGTGACCAGGGGTGCTGGGATTTTGTTCAGTTGCTCGAAGGTGAAGAGAGTCTAGCAATTCTTCAGTAATCTGTCCAGTATTCACGTTCGCAATGGCTTAAGAAACCTGGGAAGGCATTTTTAAATATATGGACTAGTGATGTCAATTACAGAAAGTCGTGATACCGATACCAAACCAAATACCGACAGGAACCGTGGGAAAATACCGAAACCGAACCGACTTGGAAATATCAGGGAAATGCCAACTTTTTACCAAAGTCACAGTCTCTTTTACAGTAGCGAGGATTCACAATACCAACAAAATACCAAATATGTTAGCCTCGAAACGCCAAATACCAAGTTGGTATCGGTTTGGTATCGGTATGCCAAAAAGTTGGTATTTTATTGACATCTCTAATATGGACAATCCTCCACAAGAAGAAACTGAACTGGAAACATTATCGTCCGATCCTAATGACCGTCATCTCCCCTGACAGCATGGTGTCGAGGCTGGAAGCGTGCACCTTTTGGCTCACGGCTCAGTGAAGCGGAAGAATGGTTCGAAAGGGCGATATTGAGTGACGAAAAGTGGCTCGCGCTACAGCAAGCACCCGCAAGAATAATACAGGCTCCTTCGCCGAATAATCCACAGAAGTTGACTCCATACAAGGATGTGCACGGAGCGAAAGTCTTGGCCGAGGTCTGCCGTACGGAGAAGCAAGTTTTCTTCGAGCGACACAACTGATTTCTGTTTGTGCTATGTAAAATGTGTAAGATTTATCATTCCAACGGTGAGCTGTTTATGCAATATGTCTTACGCCTCTGGCGGGGCTGACTTTATGTCATCTTTTATTGATGATCCTGTAATTTAGAGGATAGCGCGTGGATGTTTATGTAAATGCAGTTATCCCGCACCGTAGACAGTGTTTACAATTGCTTCACGTGCAAAGAGATAAAATTATCAGATGTCGTGTAACTGATTTTTTAAACGGACCTTGTTTAAACGTCATATTTTTCTACCTACGAGTGGTTTAATAATTTTATCCCGTACCGCTGGCATCTTTCGGTCACTTAAGTTAAGAATACATTTTATGTAAAAATACGGCATATTTCAGGCTAGACGAAATGTCTACTAGACGTTTAACAGTTGGTCAAACGTCTAGACCACGTCTAGACGTTTAACAAATGAGGTAAACGACATCTGACAATTTTCTCTCTCTGCACGTGAAGCAATTGTAAACACTGTCTACGGTGCGCGGGATAATGACAAAAAAAAACTCCAATATCTATGTAACGTCGTTTATGATGTTGCACATGGTTCACAACGCAAAAGTTGAGCATCGATCTGGCAAGGAGTGAAGCGACACGAGCCCTCCATGTGCAAACGATAGTCTTAAATCATTTTTTTTTTGTCATCAACATAAATTTTAATATTTCCCTTGTTGAATTATGATGGTGAGGGAGGTCACGTCATTGACATAGCTTTACGTGAACTTCTAGAAATTACGAGACATAAAAGTTGCAAGGTCTCGAAAGAATATGAAGTCCCTGTGAGTTTTATCTATCTGCAGAAGTTGACCTAGCAATGGCGGAGTTGCCAAGCCGCAATATTGTGAGACCCAGTGAAGTCTTTTATGACGTCATAGGTCAGTGACTCGACAAGAATTGAAAATGTAATTGGCCGTTGGTGTCACCAGAGAATCGGCTTGAATCAAGTCAGGTGTCAGTGTCTTATTTTTCAGCTTTCAGGTTTCCTTGTTGAGAGCAATCGCAAGAAGTCTGGGGTAGGTAACACCCGTCACCCTCATCTATGGAAAGTTATGCTTTTGCGGAGCGACCTTCAAAGCTAGCGCGCCCCACGCACTATCGTGTTTTCAGCTTGCTGTCGGTTTTCCAATATATGGAAGCCAGTTACAGGCGTCTCTTAGTCTCTCATTGGTCAATCGCACACACCACGTGTGGTTCATCAACGACCAATGAGAAGAGCCAGCAAACTGACAGCATGCTGATTTGGTGATCAAACAGCGCCCTGACCACACCCCTCCCATCTATCACTGACACCCTGCTCGGTAACTCGTCTCGAGACGCGACTGAGCCAGGCCCTTCGACCGGTTACCGCCGCCGGCATAATTCCGCCTGATTCCGACTGCACCGCTGGACACCACACTGCGGCGAGCGACCCCGCTGTCAGACTCGGGCCGGACGCACCCCCTCCCCTACCCCCACTCCAGCTGTGGCGAGGGTGAGGGTATTCACCGCATCAAACCTACAGGCCGCCTGGACCCTTATCTTGAGACCAATAGTACAAGTAAAACTTTCGAGAAACCCATCCTGCCGCGTCATGTCAAAGTTTTGAGCAAAATCAGTTTCTGTCGTTGAAGTCTCCTGATACGGCCTGTTTATTCTTTTATTTTCGTGATATAAATGTCTTTGGTGAGCGGTATTCTATGCAAGGGAGTAACCTAGGAAACACATGAAAGGGTTTTTGTCAGGGATGCGGCGCCGTGGAAATTTCAGACGGCTCCGGCTCCGGCTCCGGCTCCGGAGAAAAAATCGGCTCCGGCTCCGGCTCCCGCTCCGGGTGAAATGTCACGGCGGCTCCGGCTCCGGCTCCGGCTCCGAGTAAAATGATCCGGCTCCGGCGGCTCCGGCTCCGGCGGCTCCGGCTCCTAGTTCTACTCAGTACATCCCCTATACGATCAATTAAATACGGGTGGAAGAAAAAAGGCGATGGGATTGGTACACGTCGCTTCTGTATTTGTATAACAAGGCTATTTGGAATGCCACATTGTTTTACGCCTTGTACTGTCAAACCGAACTAGGTAAATAATTGTTTCCTCTTAAGAAAAGGAGCTGGAGTCGCCCCCTTTTTTGACGGCTCCGGCTCCGGCTCCGGCTCCGGGCTATATTGTTTCACGGCTCCGGCTCCGGCTCCGGCTCCGGGCAAAATATGCCGGCTCCGGCGGCTCCGGCTCCGGCTCCGGCTCCGGCTCCGCATCCCTGGTTTTTGTTGAATATTTTGTACTTTTTTGGAGCATAAATTTCCCAAATTGACATGGTTCTAAGCGCATGCATTTGCAAGTAGGAAGATAACACCACAAAAGAGACATATTGAGCTTTGACACAGGTGTCAAATGTTGAGGCAATGTGGTGGCAGATTCGATAGGAGTCCTAAGGTTAAGGCACATGCTTGCTTAACCCTCGCCGGACCTATTGGTTTTCTACATACGCGCCGGCCGAGGGGGGGGGCGGGTACGACCCCCCCCTCGCCGTTTCGCCCCTGGTGGAGCTAGCGCGTCGCGGAAAAAACGAGCGTGTGCGCCGTTACGAGACGCAGAGATTGGTACCCAATTTTAAGGTCCTAGGTCAACCGGTGACCTCTGAGGTCAGGTCAAGTGCCCCAGGGTACGGTTCAGTTTTTGGTGAATAACTTCGCAAAAAACGGCCGCAGAGCGCCGATTTTGGCAGCATCGTGTTCGCCTCGCTCAGGCGCGTCGAATGATATACTTTTTGTCTGGGTCAGGTCAACTTGGGGTGTTGACCTCAGGTCAAGGTCAGGTCAGCACCCCCAGGTCACGAAGTTGGTCGAAAGAGGTCATGTCGCATATCATTCGATTCGGCAGGCCTTCCTGAGTCCATTGGTGCCTTTCCCGACTCGCTAGCTCAATTTGATCAAGAGTTATTGACGAAAAACTAATTTGACCTTGATGACGTCATAAATGACGTCACGCAAGGTCAACATTGCAAAAGTGACGCATCTAACCTTGCAAGGAGTGCATCAAATCACGATTCTGTGTGCTTGAGATAGTTGGAGATCGTTCCCGGCGCCAGAATAGCAGTTTGAATTTTTCCCCATTGACTTATAATGGTGAGGTCACGAAAATGACCTGACCTCATATGACCTTTAGGAAAAATCCGAGATATACAAGTTGTGGGACTCATAATGGATACTAGATCCTGCAAGTTTCATTTCCCTGTGACATCTCCTCTGGCAGTGAGGGCGTTGCGAAGTTGCGACATCTGAAGACCGTGCAGAGGTTCACTTATGACGTCATAGGTCAGTGACCTGACCTGACCCAAAAATGCGGTTGGTGTCAAAAGATGCGGCTTGGATCAAAGGTCAGGTATGCCAAGTTTCAGCTCTCTATCGCCAGCGTGTTCGGAGCTATCGCGAAAAAACCCTATGGGGGGGGCGGCACCCGCCCCCCCCCTCGGCCGGCGAGGGTTAAACTTTTAAACATGATGTTGTGTATTTGCGGTGTTCTGCTAGCAATTATAAAATGACCTCAACATGGAGGTGCCGAGCAGTGCAATGTCTCCCGCAAATATTGTGATTGTTTTTGGATAAAATCTGGGTTCGGGGGGGGGGGGGACTTGGGAGTGACATGAAAAATGGAATACAGGAAGTGATATATTGTGATTTTGAATATTGAATAGACTGAAGAAAGGAATAATATCTGGAACATTTGGTGACCGTGACAGGACACGATGGAGGAGTATATACAATTGGCAGAAAGGTGTGGATTGAGTGGATCAGAAGCCTTGGCGTATGCCACTGAACAGAAGGAGAAGGCGGACGAAAGAGCGGAGAGAATCGCAGCCAGAGAAGAGGGAGAAAAAGAGAGACAATTTGAAGTTACGGCCAGAGAAGAGAGAGAAAAAGAGAGACAGCATGAGCTAGAGCTGGAGCGCATCCGAGCGGAGAGAGCGAGTTCAACAGAACAACAGGCGGCGTCGGCCAAGAAGCCCAAGTTACCTGCGTTCGTGGATGGCAAGGACGATTTGGACGCCTACCTGGCGCGGTTCGAGAGGACAGCAGCTCGGTGCGGGTGGGCCAGAGAGGAATGGGCCACTAACTTGAGTGCTCTTCTGACCGGGAGGGCTCTCAACGTGTATTCTCGGCTAAGCGAGCGTGATGCAAATGACTACCAGCAAGTAAAGGAAGCCCTGCTACAGCGCTACGGTTTGACGGCGGAGGGCTACCGCCGTAAGCTCCGAGAGAGCGGACCCGAGCCGGATGAGAGCCCACCTCAATATCTGGAGCGGCTGACGGGCTACCTGCGCCGTTGGGTGAGCTTGGCTGGCGAGGATTTAGAAGACCTAGTTGTGTATGAACAGTTTATGGAAGCATGTCCGAAACAACTGCAGACGCATCTACGCGAGCGCGTTGACTATGACCTGAAAGATTTGGGTGAGCAGGCTTCAAAATTCTTAGAAGCTCACGACCGCTCGCTTTACAACTGGCCCAGACGCGCCAACGCCAGTGGTGATTCATCCTCCTCGCCCTCTCTACAGGCTTACGGTTCAGCAACTGCGCTACCGACGGCGGTCCAAGATGGTTGCGTCTTTTGTGGGTACCCTCATCCATCGGAAGAGTGTAGGAAGACGCGGGACCTCACGCCGGCTGAGCGACGAGAGCGCTTGATGCGCCGAGCGGGGTGCTTCTGGTGCCTGAAGCCGGCCTCTCACAGAGCAGTTGACTGCCGCCAGGGCCTGGCGCGCTGCTCGATCTGTAATGGCAAGCACAATCCCCTGCTATGCGACCGGTCGTCTGTGCCAGCAGCAGCGAGGGGCAGCCAGTCGAGCAGCGGCACGTCACCCGCTCAATCAGCCACGGTGACGGCGGCCAGTCGCACAGCCACCGAACCTGACCGTGTCGTGCTCATGCAGACGGCCAAAGTGGAGGCATCTGGACTGAAGAGCACGTGCCGCGTGCGAGTCATGTGTGACTCAGGCAGCAACGCCACCTTCATCAGATCTGACACAGCACACATGCTGGGCTGTCGGATTCAGACAAGACAACCGCTCCAGGTGAGCACATTCGGAGGAGGAAAGGCGTCGCATCAGCTGAGTGAGAAGGTGGAAGTGGGACTGACCACACAGGATGGGTCACTGCTACGTGTCGAGGCCTACAAGATTCCCAATATATGTGGCCCTCCGCCTGTCATCGGCATAGAAGAAATACAGCTTCATGAACACCTGAGAGGTCTGAAGCTGGCGGAGGAACCAGGTGCTGCACTGGCCAGGGGTGGTGAAATTGAGATTCTCCTCGGCCAGGACGTCCTGCAGGACGTTTTTGACGGTGACATGCGCGTCGGTCAGTCCGGGCCAATGGCGATCAGCTCGCGGTTTGGCTGGATCGTATGCGGGCGGTCAGGCTGCGCCACTCCAGCCCCACAAGAGATGATGGCCAACTTCGTGCACACGGAGACGGAGTCGGTGAAGGCGACGCTGGATGACTTGTGGACGCTGGAAGGCATCGGGATCAGCAGTGATGGTGTAGGAGATGGCAGCGTGAAGAAAACGCAGGAAGCCGCTGCCCTGCAGCAGTTCAATGAAACCTGCACTCGCCTTCCTGACGGGCGCTATCAGAACCGTTGGCCATGGAAACATGACACCGGGGACCTCCCCTCAAACGAAGCCATGGCGCTCTCTCGCCTGGAGGCGTGCGAGCGGAGCCTGAGGAAGACTGGAAAACTGAGGCAATATGACAATGCAATCCAAGACTACATCGATCAAGGTCACGCTGAAGAGGCACCCCAGATCCCCACTGGGAAGGTGCATCTACTCCCGCACCATGCAGTCTTCAAGTTAGACAAGATCAGGATTGTCTTTGACGCTGCCGCTGGCCATCCCAACTCGCTGAACGATCACGTCCTCTCTGGTCCAAACATGATTGCTGACCTTACCGGAGTGCTGCTCCGATTTCGAACGAGAAGGATCGGAGTCACCGCTGATATTGAGAAGGCATTCCTTCAGCTGGCTCTACATCCTGATGACCGGGATGTCACGAGGTTCCTGTGGATGAAGGATGCCTCCGATCTCCGCCCCACCACCTACCGCATGACGCGTGTGGTGTTCGGAGTGACCGCTTCGCCATTCCTGCTTCAGGCAAGCGTACGTCAACATCTGCAGCAGTATGAGGAGGCAGACGGACAGCTGGTCGCTCGCCTGCGGCGCGACCTATACTGTGATGATTTAATCACCAGCGTGAATACACAGGAAGAGGCTGAAGAGCTGTCACAGCGGACCCAAGAGATCTTCAATGATGCCAAGATGAATATGAGACACTGGACCTACAGCTTCGAGACGGACAAGGAGGCACACAAGCCTCTTGGCGAGGAGGCAACAGCTGAGCGTAAAGTGCTGGGCATCTGCTGGATCCCAGGGGACGATCAGCTGGTGTTCAAAACTGCCTTTCTGATGCAGCTCGGTCGAGAAGCACCGGAAACGAAGCGGAACATTCTAAGCGTCTCAGCGCGCTTTTACGACCCGCTTGGCCTTCTTGTTCCCTTTCTGGTTCGAGCGAAGCTTCTGCTGAAGAGATTATGGATCGCTGGCCATTCCTGGGATCAGACGGTAGCCAGTGACGTGCGCAAGGACTGGAGAAAGTGGCTTCTGGAGCTGGAGCAGATCGACGGTTTCAGCATCCCACGTCCCTACGCGACCGGCGGAGACTGCGGCTATCAGCTACACATGTTCTGCGACGCCAGTATGGAGGCCATGGCAGCAGCTGTGTACGTCAAACCGGAAGACAACTCACGCGCGCCCACTCTGGTGATGGCTAAGGCCCGTCTCGCCCCACGCCAAGCCATGTCAGTGCCTCGTCTCGAGCTGACAGCGGCCGTGATCGGTGCCCGGTTAGTCACCTACGTGCAAAGTCAACTAGACATCACCACCGAAATCAGCGGCTGCTGGACTGACTCGATGGTAGCGCTTCACTGGATTAGAAGCAATTCCCAGCGGTGGGGAGTATACGTGCGAAACAGAATCAACGAGATCCAGAGCCTCTGCCCGCCGACCTTGTGGAAGCATGTCCCGGGCAATCAGAATCCTGCTGATCTGCCATCCAAAGGAGTACCGGCGGCGCAGCTGAGGAGCAGCCTCTGGCTGCATGGCCCAGAGTGGCTGGAAGGCGACAATTCAGTCTGGCCTCCGCAGACTCCGACAAGCAACGAGCCAGCCGAATGTACAGTGGAAGCAAAGAAGATGGCGCTCACAACGGTAGGAACTCGCGCCAGATCCACTGGGATCGGACAAGTGATGGACATCAACCGCTACAGCAGCTGGAGGAAGCTGATAAGGATCACCGCCTGGGTGCTAAGATGGGCTCGAGGCCGCAGCTTGGCGACAAGCCTCAGCGGTCCTTTGTCGACAAGTGAAATCAGCACCGCTGAGCGTCTGTGGGTCATGGACGCCCAACGAACCGAGTACGGCCAAGACCTGGATGCCCTCCAAGCGGGTCTTGACCTGCCGCGTCAGTCGAGCTTGAAGGCTCTCAACCCCGTGCTAGAAGAGGGCATACTGAGAAAGGATGGACGACTTCAGTATTCCAGTCTCTCAGAAGAGGAGATACGACCGGTGATTCTCCCGCCTGGTCACCGGCTGGTTTATCTCCTGGCTATGAAGATCCACGAAGAACTCTGTCACGCTGGAGTTCAGCAAGTTGTGGATGCCATCAGAGATCGCTATTGGATCACCCGGGGGCGGCAAACCGTGCGCGCCTCCCTGAACCAGTGCCGCAAATGCCACTTGTTCCGAGCCCAACCGTTCGCCATGAGACCGGCTCCTCTGCCTCGGAGCCGGGTGACAGCCGCTCGACCCTTCAGCTGCACTGGCATCGACTACGCTGGGCCGCTATATGTGAAGCGGCCGTTTGGATCCGAGCCCGAGAAGGTCTACATAGCGGTTTTCACCTGTGCCGTCACGCGCGCCCTGCATCTGGAGCTGGTGGGTTCCCTGCGGACGGAAGACTTCCTCCGCGCCTACCGTCGTTTTGCCGCTCGCAGACTCAGTCCGACCAGCATTATCAGCGACAACGCCACCAACTTCAAGGCCGCCTCTGCCGTCCTGGCCACGGAGGGAGTTTCTTGGAGCTTCATCGTGGAGCGGGCTCCATGGTGGGGCGGCTTCTGGGAGTCGATGGTGAAACTTACGAAGCACGCGCTGCGCCGCACACTTGGTGCAGCACTTCTCTCATGGGAGGAGCTAGAGACAGTGCTCTGTTCCGTGGAGGGGGCCATCAATGAACGTCCTCTCACTCAAGTCAGTGATGACCCGGATGACCTGCGACCGCTGAGACCGTCAGACTTCCTTCACTGCTCTCTGGAATCTGGTCCGAGTCCCGTCCGGGAGAGCGAAGCCCAGCGCCTGACACGCCGCCGCCGTTACCAGAGCCGAGTCATGGAATCCCTGTGGAATCGCTGGCAGCGTGAATATCTGAGGCACCTCAGAGATCAGCACCGACCTGAAGTGGAGCTAGCACCCACATCAGGCGATCTCGTGCTGATCGAAGGCGAGACCTCTCCCAATCGCCTGACCTGGACAACTGGCGTGATCTGTGCCACTGCCGTGCATCCTGGACGGGATGGACGATCCCGTGCTGCCTCGGTGCGCACTGGGCGTGGTATCGTAAGGCGGCCCATACAGAAGCTGTATCTCTTGGAGGCCGCATCAGCCAGCCAGACGTCTCCAGAGGTCTGAGTGAGCGCAAATGGTGAAATTCAATCCACCAGGAAGGGGCATGGGTGCTCGTGCTCTTATGCTCTCGTCATTGTGTACTATTATGTGTTACTATTGTCTTGACTTCCACCCCGGGGAGTATGTTGTGTATTTGCGGTGTTCTGCTAGCAATTATAAAATGACCTCAACATGGAGGTGCCGAGCAGTGCAATGTCTCCCGCAAATATTGTGATTGTTTTTGGATAAAATCTGGGTTCGGGGGGGGGGGGACTTGGGAGTGACATGAAAAATGGAATACAGGAAGTGATATATTGTGATTTTGAATATTGAATAGACTGAAGAAAGGAATAATATCTGGAACACATGATTCCCCCCCCCCCCCCAACACCACCACCTCCAAAAACTTAGGTATTAGGTATTAGGCTAAGGTATTGTTTCCAACCGACCTGCCCGATTAACGTCCGTCAAGTGACTCGTTGGGCGGCACGGGCGGACATCGATAGCAGCGCCTCTATCGGCCACTAGGGAAAGCTGGGCTGTAGGCGACGAAATACCGGCTGAGTTGTCACAAGTTAAATAGGTTTATAGACATCCGTTTTGTGAAAAAGTTGAACTTTTGCCTTCAATATTTCTACAGGCAATTTTAGAAGTGCCTTCACATAGATTACAAAACCGTTTAAATTATTTTATTCACTTCAAGCCTTCCCTATTGTTCTTGATGATGCGGGAACTATTTCTAATTAGTGTTTCTAGCTTAGTAAAAGAACATATTGTGCAAACGATGAAAAAAGCATAAATGGAAGATTTTAAATGCAATTTTCTGTAACAAATAATGGTAAATTCTCCACACATCAAGGAAAAGGTGCATGCTAACTGATAATTTAAAGTTCTTGGGGCCAGTTGGTTTCTTCTTTTCTTACGTCGCCCCAATGGCCGCGAATACACTTGTGATAACGCCTATCGTACCATCGGCCGCCATTCCCGTTCATAAACGTTAGCTGCCGGTCATCATCCATCGCCAGTCCGTGGATCCGGCTTTGCAAATTATTAGAATGTGCCCCCCCCCCCCACACACACACACGCACATTACGCTTAGATCCGCTTCTCAGGTAACGTGTTGGACGGTAGATACTCGTCACGCGATGCATGGCGATTAAACTCTTATTTCGTACTCGTGCTTTATATCCGAATGTGGGAGGTGTACCATGATTTAAGTACTATATTTGTTGTCCCAGACCCACATAATCCAGGCCCATGTCACTCCACTTTTGATGACATCATATGGGGGCCTCAGGACAATAATGGCGTGGCGCGCCACAATCGCTTCAAAGCTACTTGCCAACAGTTGCCATTTTTGAAAATATTATTTTGAAATAAAGTTCCAATTAATAAAAATATTGTAATGAAGTTGTTGAATAAATCGATACCATATCTAAAAACGTACTGAAAAAATGATTTATTCATAGTAAAAATATAAGCTCGATGCGTTTTAACGTTGCTTTCCTTCAACTGCAGAGGGCTTTTAAATCGTCTATATCTTCAAAACCGGCCATTTCTTAGCATATTGCTGCTTTTTTATCGCTAGAAAATTAGTTGGACTTTCCAATGACATCAATGGTTGAGCGATATGTGTAGAGTGTCACCAACAATCTTCAAATGAAGTTAGTCATTTTTACGTTGTAAAGGAATGGAGTACCCCTATCGAGCATCAGGGGTGACGTCACTCAGGATCTGTCTCTGATTGGTCGGCGGGAGAGTGACTGTACCTTCTATAGATGGCCTTGACAAAATCATCCGATGATTGGTGCATTTATTCACCCTCACGCACATAACCTATTTCAGGGACAGCATTTGCGAGCCAAATATTTGAAGCATCACTAGCCCAATGCAACAGTAGTCGCCAATCGCCAACTTCTTTCAAACGTTGGAACATTTAGTCGACGTGTGAGGCGGTTTCAGATACCGCCGCGTCTGCTGCTCGCCCGACGACTGACCCAGCTACCCCCGCCCCCTTACGTTTACGGACCGCTCCTATGCCGCCGTGTAGACGGAATAGACGCCGAGCCGCTGATCGTCTTGGGAGGTGGCTCGGTGAGTGGTGAAGCGCCGCTTTCTTACATTTTCAAAAAAGTTACAGCGAAGTCCACACTCGCTTCCTTATATTTCGTACTTCTGAGACCGTGCGGCTTCTGCCCTAGCGTCTAGCGGTGACACCTGAACGGCCGAAATACAAACCTGTGCGGGTATTGCGAGCAGAACGACACCATAGCAAGATGAACCCAGTAAGAAGTTACGCTGTGCCATTACCAGTAGGAGCTTATGTGTGTAGGTTCTTCGCCAGAGTCCGGACTGCACCTCCCGGCAAGACAGGAAGTTTCTAACACTTTAACCCTCGCCGGCACAGGGGGGGGGGTTGATGCAACCCCCCCTAAGGTTTTTCGCGAATAACTCGCGTAAAAAGCGGCCGATCGCGACGAAACTTTCAGTACCTTCGCATTGATCAATTTTACACCTACCCTGAAAATTTTATGACCCTGACCCCAATGACCTTTGACCTGTGACCTCTTTTCTGTGACCATGTTTGGCCGAGATCGCGGTTCGGCGCATGTCGGCTCGCATTAGCCGCGCGTTTGCAAGCTTTTCGTGGTTTCAAACGTTCAAACATGTGATTTGATGTTGCTCCCATGCATTAGGGTGGGTGTCAAGGTCACCTGAAGGTCAGGTCAGGTCATTTACCTTTGGTGACCTCGGGTGACCTCGGTTCACTTTTTCGAGTTTTACATGTTTCTAGGCTAGTTTTTGGAGCTGAATTCGAATTTAGCAACCATTTGAACATTTACGAAGTAGTTTTGGTGCCTTCGTAACATGTTACGAAGCTGTCCGAGGCGGTTGACGCGTATTACGAATACCCGTCACAACCCCTACCGGTTGACCTGACCTGACCTGACCCGACCTGGTCTAAATGCTTAAAGACATCATCTATGATCGATCAAAGCTAACACGATATTCGTGATCAGCACCCCGGAAAACCACATAGCAGCCACACTTTACGACTTTCTAACAGGTCCCGATTTTCCCGGTTTTCGGGTCATTGACCTGACCTGGAAGGTCACCCAATGACCTAGGACCTTAAAATTGGGTATCATCGGCTTCCTCTCGTGACGGGCAACACGCTCGTTTTTTCCGCGAAGCTCTAGCTCGATCAGGGGCCAAACGCGAGGGGGGGGTCGTACAACCCCCCCCCCCTTGTGCCGTCGAAGGACTCAAAATGGCCTGTGCCGGCGAGGGTTAAAAAGTTTCTGTAGCAACACCGTGCGTGTAGCTTCCTTGATCAGTAGCGACCGACAGGTAGGTACAGCAATTGAATTCAGAGTCGGTAGCCTTATATTTAGCATGCCGCAGCTCGTCAACTATTTTAACTTTCGCTCTGTATGCGGAACCGCATCGGGCAATCGTGAACGACCACCGAAAGCAGCCGAGTCCACGGTGTCGGAAACGTTCTGCGCAGCCTGTAGGTGTAGATGATACAACAGTGAGTCCCTGTGTATTTGTGAGTCTTCGTGAGTTCTGGCCCACATAACTCACAGGTGTGCGCTTCCAGCGTTACTGACAGCGTAGCTTTCTTTTGCACGGCCCAGAAGAGCGCGATATGAGCTGACAAGTGTGGGGTTCGCTTTGACTGAGTGAGCTGTCGGACTTGCTGGAAAAGAGCACCTGACTGATCATCGAGTCATTTCCAAACACACAGATCACAGCGAATCTGAAAATGAAGACAACCGAAACGAGCCGCGCATGATGGGTTCCTAGCTCATTCATGCGGTAGCAGAGGAGCGGGCCGTGAATGAAGGGGCCGTAAAGGCCGTGATGGGGTTAGCTGAGTCGGTTGCCACTGAGAAGCAGAGGCACGGCTGTATATCAGCTGTAGCCGCCTAACATGTGTGGACGAAAAGTATCAACGTGCTGAGAGTTGTCAGTCGGTCACCAATGGTGAATTTGACTACACTGTTTGAGTTAGTACATTCCGAAGCAATCGCTTAACTCGCAAATGCTGTCCCTGAAATATGTCGTATGCGTGAGGCGTTTATTGAATAAATACTCCAATTATCCGAAACATCAGATGATCGCATGGGTGTGGGACGATTTTGATTGGCTGAGAATACATTGGTTAAATCAGGGCACACTGGCCCATAATCTGATGCAAAGCACAAGGACTAGTTTAACCCTCGCCCTGGCAGGGCATTTTTCATAACACGGCCTGGCAGGGGGGGGGGTCGATGCGACCCCCCCCCTCGCGATTGGCTCCTATGGCACCTAGAAACACCAAATTTGGTAGGTAGGTGGGCCCCCTGGAGTTTTCGCCTCTGTGCAAGTTTGGTTGCTCTAGGTCAATATTTAGGGGGGTTTTGGGGGGTATAAATGTAAAAATTTCGCTAAAAACAGTTCAAAAGTTTTTCGCTTATAACTTTTGATCTAATTAAGATAGAGCAAAAAGAAAGGCACCAGTGAACTCAGCACGTCAAGGCGCGTCGAATGATATACTTTTTAGCTTGCTTAAGTGTACTTAAAGTTTTTCTTAAATTTTAAGTAAACTTAAATTTATAAATTAAGCTCAAGTTAACCAAATTGCATCATATCGCATATCATTCCATTCGGCTGATCACCAGGAACACAATGATACCATTTTTTAAGCTCTAGCGTCATTATGTGCCGAGTTATTGGCAAAAACGTCATCTGACCTCAGTTGACCTCATTTGACCTGATCCATGGATAAGTACACCAAACAAAGAAGCACCAAGTGACCTGCTGTTAAGTACCGTGGTTTCAAAGCACAAAAGTGATAGAACGAAGCGGATATCTCCAGTATTTTCCGAATTTAGTATTTTCCCATAGGCTTAACATTACGACGTAATGACCTCTAACTGACCTCAGGTCAATGACCTCAAAAAAGCCGGAATATATGTTATACAACTCGGTGAACTTACCACATCCTGAAAGTTTGAAGGAAATAAGTCAAAAACTGT